ACACACAGACACACAGACAAATAGTTTTATGTATGCCATTCTTCATGTTTTTTTCTTACTTTTTGTGAGTCTAACCAAGCACCTCAAAGAAGTCAGACTCTCAAACAGTCTGTTGTGGGGTGTTCGGAGTGCCTGCAGGACTCATAGGGGGGCCACTCAGTTCGCGATGTCTGTGATGCGAATGGTCTATCGGTGATGATAGACGTCTGTCATAGTGCCTTGCTGGCTCAGAAGGTGATGGGAACTAAGAGTCTGCGGGGTTCTACTTGAGGTGTGAGCAGGTCATGGATGGCTTTGGTCCGTGTTGAGGGTGTGGACTGCCTTGTCTCTGCTCTCCGCTGCCTTGCTCCCGTCCGGCTCGCTTCCCATGTCGTTCTTGGCAGCTGGTGTTTTGCCGTGTAGTTCGGCTGCGTTCACTAACGGTTAATGGAAGGCCAAAAATTCGGGGTTTTTCGCCGCATCGCTACAAGCAATGTTGTCGGAACTTTTGCGAACAAACTATGCATGGTCATAATACAAACATCAAAAAACCAAACAGGCCAAAAAAAAATAAAAAATCAAACTCAAGAGCACTATAAAACCCTATTCAGAGTAGCTTTCGGAGTTCGCCAAAGCTTTTTTCGAGTCCGGTGTTTTTGCTAAGTTTTTTGTTACTAGTCCAAATACGGCGAAACTGAATACAGATATACCCTAAAGCACATATGTATCAGGCAAAAAGAAAAACCGAGAAAAAAGTAAAAATTCAGGGAAATATTCGCTGCGCTGTTGCCTTGCTGCCCCATCCGCGTGCCTTGTCTTTCCGTGCACCTTGCTTGTGTGCCGCGTGGTTTGGCTGCTTTGGCAGTTTTGCTTTGTGCTTCACCGTGTTGTTGCCTTGCTGCCCATCCGCTTTCACTATCATAATGGTTGCATGCAGTTAGCTTCAACGTCTTGCAGTTCGGTTGCCCTGGAAGCGTTGCCTGGTGCTTCGCTGAGTTGTTGTCTGCTGCTATGTTCTGCGTGTGATGCGCTGCTGGACATCTGCTTCCAACAAGGGTCAAAGGGTTCATGACCCAAAGCATCAACATGGGGATTCCGCAGATTGGCGAGGGTCCAGCCTCCTGACGAGTCAATGCAAGTCGAATGAAACAATTTAATATCATCGTCAGTTTTTTTTCTTTTTGTTTTTTCGCTCTTCTTGTTTTCCTGGTACTTGTATTTTTTTTTCAGTTCTTAACGTCTTTTGCGTCTTGGTTGTGTCTTTTCCATGCCCTGTGTGCTTGTGAGTTGTCTGCCCTTCCGTCCCCCCGGCTCCCTGCAGCCTATGTGTTGCCTTGCTGCTTTTCCCTGGTCGTGTCTGTGTGTTCTTCGTTGCTTTCTCCCTGTACAAGGAAAATCAGCAATGTGAATGACAGAAACCAAATTACAGCATTCCATAGGAATCCAAATAACTTGTGGCTGTGGATGAACTGAAAGCAGATTGCACCACGAGTTAAACCAAATAGACAAGAGCAAGCACTGAAGTCAATTGATAACGCAACCCCTCTTCTCGTCTCCTCCAGCAATGTCCACAACGCGCCACTCCCATATAATGGCGCTAGGCGCCCAGACTATAATCAGACAGCACCTATCGACCTAGACTCTAACGACAGCAACACTGTCAGGTCTTCATGAAGTTCAGCCGCCCGATAACGAATGCAGACTCTCACTGTAGCGGCCCAGTCATCACCACCAGGTAAGTGTCCACATGCATCACCTCACCCTTGTCTACTACCCACAATCCCTTGCCCAAGGACCCCCGCTCAACCTCCCAGGCTATGGCACCAGCATCCCGGCTATGGCTGCTGCGCTCATGCTGCGCCCACGACAGCTCCTTCCTTGCGCCCCACCAGCGCCCTTCCTCTCTGCCTGACTCTCGTGCAGCAAGCCAGTGCTCCAACAGCACTGCCGCCGTCCAGCCAGAATGTTGGAAGTGGGTGTGCCTCACTTCCTTTTGTTCTGGTTGGCTGGGCGAGGTAGGCTCGGTTTGATCGGCCTCTGTCCCAGTAGCTGCACCCAGGGGCCAGGGCCCTTTCAGAATGTGCCTGGGGGTCAACTGTATGTGCCCTGCGCCTCAGCATCTGTTTTTCTTTTTCAGTCATGTACATGTGCTTCTTCTATTTACTGTCCTGTGCAGTCAAGATCTATATGAGAACTGTCTTTGAGTCTTTGCACATGGGCATCTCCTTGAACAGCACTGATTGGAGTGCAACTTGTACTGCGGCCAATTATTCCTTGACAATGTGTTTTCACACACATCTTCACACACACACACACACACACACACAACACACACAAACACACACACAACACACACACACACACACACACACACACACACACACACACACACACACACACACACACACACACACACACACACACACATACACAAGGAGTTAATATAGCCAGAGTCTGACAGACACTGTCAAAACCAGAACGAACCTCCCCGTGCTGTGCAATCCGCAGAATCAAATGATCTCATGGTGCTACAGTGAGGCAAGTGTGCATACTATGCCATAATGTGTGTCTGCTCGCTCACAATTGCAAGCCCTATACTGTTTTTCTGGTTTTGTCCACTGGACAGAAGACGAGCATCATGCTGAACGCCTAGAGGGTGACAGTACTGCGGCTGGCGTGAACATAGAAGCACTGTCTATGACATTTACAGGAAGACGACTACAACTCTAGCCCCCTCCATAGAATTACAATATTATTATATGCCTGATATGGACCTGAATATTCGTACTTAGTACATCCTACATCGCCCAGGTCACGTCTGACTCAGTGTTGTTACCTTTGCAGATAATTCATGGACCCCGTGGGCTAATGGTGGCAGGGTGCACTTGGTGGGAAATATTACCTCTTACTTCACAGAGTGGCAGAATCCCACTCAGTCATGTGGATGTGTACTGGCAAGCTCTAAAGTCTCCATGGAACAATCCGGCTGACCATACCCCCTCCCCTGAACATGGCCAGACAGCGCCCCTTCCCTGTGTAAGTCGGACAGATTCTGTCGTGGATAGTGAGGGGGCCCTCCAGAGGACAGTGGCTGTGCCATGCCATTGTGTCTCCACACAGGTACAGTTCGGTTAGCGTGCGTACAATACAATCTCTGCTCACTGCTCAGGACACTATGGAGGAATGTTCCTCCAAGCATCTGCCACGATTACTTTGACTGCGACTTGTTGTGTCTTGCACTCATCCCCCCCACCCCCTTATTGCTTGCCCGATATACCATGATTGTGACCTTGTCAATGACATGCCATGCTTAAATAATTGTGAATCCGCCAGAACGCCGGTAGTATCGAGGGAAGTGGAGCAGTGGAGGAGGCCGTGGGCTATGGGGGATGGGATATTGACAGCGGTGTGCTTAATTTTTTCATTGTAAACTTTACTGGCCCTCACTGGGCCTTGGCCAAAGAAACAACCACGCTCAGATGTTTGCATGTGAACGTGGGTGTGCTCTCGGTTGTTGTGACGCAATTGCGTCCACTCACTTGTTCCACCTTCCAATTGTGAATGTCAGCTTGCTTTCCTGCTCGCGTCTGAGCGACATGTCATGTGCTGTCAATGTTTCCGGGAAGCTTCCATGGAAAGTACGTGTCTCTAAATGCGTGGACTACCCCCGATGCCATCACCCGGCATATCCTCTCCGTTCAAGTCCCACATGCATCGTTGGGCATCCTCCAGCTGTGCCCGTAATCAGATCTCCTCCATTCTTGCCAGATGAGCAATAAATGCAAGCAGCCTCAGGTGGAAAATAGACTCTCGTATGAACCACTTACGGTGCACTGTTGCAGGCCGGATCTTTTCTTCTTCTTTTTTTTCTCGGGGGGGGGGAACAAGGCTCGACGTGGGGAACAGCACGTGCTGGGAACCGGCCCCAGCGTCCCATATGGAAATTTACAGAGAATTTGAAAGTCTGAGACACCGGGGCCATTACCCGGCTTTGGCTAAGAAAATTTTGAGTTATTCAGAAAATTACTAAGACGGATCTTGCAACTGCTAAACACCCTTACTTTGGATCAGGCCCCGTCATCGCCTACCCATGCAGAGGGAACATTGGCTGCAAAAACCCAAGAAACCTTCTTAGTGCCGCACTGTCCCCAGGGGAACACGCCGACGACCATCCGTCATCACCGACGTGCCACCGTTGTCTTGCTGTCCATCCCTCTTGCTTTGCGTGGTGTTCCGCTTGCAGCCGTCTTCGGTGTTGCGTAGTGCTCTGGCGTTGAGTGTGTTGCCTGGTGCTTCACAATGGCGTCATTCTGCCGTGTTCCGTTCGTGGGCAACCTGCCTTCAACAGGGGTCAAAGGGTTCATGACCTAACGCATCCAAAACCGGGGATGCCGCAGATTGTCGAGGGTTCAGCCTCCTAATGAGTCGGTGCAATTCCGACGAAACAATCTATCATCAGTTTTTTATTCTTTTCATTCTTTGCATCGTTCATACTTGTTTTTTTCGGGTATTGTTTTTGCCTTGTCGTCGTTTGTCTTGCTGTTGTTTCCCTCGTCACCTTACGCTGTTTGCTTGCCCATCCGCCTACCCCATGCCTTTTACCCTGTGTGCTTTGTGGCTTTGTGCTGTTTGCCTGCCTGCCCGCCTCCCCCTTGCGCTCCAGCCTTTATGCTTTGCTGCCTTGTGCTGTTTGCCTTGTCGTCGTTAATTTTGCTGTTGTTTTCCTCGCTGCCTTAAGCTGTTTGCTTGCCCATCCGCCTATCCCATGCCCTTTCACCAGTGTGCTTTGTGCTCTTTGCCTG